ACGTATGTATGTGTGTGTATATATGTATGTGTATATATATCACACTTAAAACGGCAGAAGTCACAGTTACTCTGCATTTGTGATGAGGATGTTCTTGTTTGAAAACCTTATGCTGAATTTTTAGAGTTTTGTTGAAGTATAAATCAACACCAGGGTAGAATGTATTAGAAATCTTTGGACTGTTCTGAATGTTGTACAGTAGTAACTAATCAGTGCATCTGGGCAAAACTTACAGTGAACTAGTTACCATAGAACTTATCTGAATAGGAATTTATATGGCATATAAACAGCCTAAAATAGATTTCTGCTCAGTTTTTGGAACAGGAAAGCTGATGTCTTTTTTTCATGTTGTTATTAGCCACAGAATTCAGAAGCTCCCCATTGCTAAACTTGTATAAAAATAGAAGAATCGTGGGCTTCATTCACTTTTTCAATAATGTTGAGCTCAACATATTTGTTGAAAAAGTGATTTATTTACAAGGAAACTAAGTCCCCACTTTGGGATTTTGCATCTAGCTGCGATACGACTTTTAATCTGCATTAGTTTACTATTCTGAATCTAATCCGACCCAACTCTGGCCAATATCAATAAGATTGAGGAGCCATGAGAAAAGGTATATTTGGTATGTTTATTATTTATGGTGCCTTTGACAAAAGGACAGCCAGCATTTGAGCCATATTGTCTATATAAGGGTTGCTAGTTCTCAGGGTCCACTGCCCTTCGTGTTTTAGCCATCAGATGATGCAAAAGCCTGTTGACCACCTTTTCATTCAGATCATGTGTGTGAAGGCAGGGAAACACCTGAAACATATACGTTAATGAGCCCTGAGGACCAGAGTTTTGTCTATATCAGCCAAATGAATATAAGAACAAAAATAAGTTCTACAATGATATATTTGTAGTCACTTTTATTTGTTTATATGAATTCAATCCAGTCACCTATAGCTGTGCAAAATAGGGGTAATACATTGATATATCTGGGTAAATTATATGAATAAACAAAAGGCCACTTCAAAAACTTTGCATTAACACTAAAAATACTTTAATCACCATTTAATTTAATGATCACAATCAACAGGAATACCAATGCATCAGTAATGCAGCTTTGCCCGGTCTGACTTAAGATCACAGCGGTGCAGAAAAAAAAAATTGACTAAAATCAGTCTTTTATTCATGGTGCACCAGTCTGAAGGTTAACAACATGAAATCCTATATCTGACCTGATTGTGTTCAGTAAAATATCCAATGGCTCAAATAACTGCATCTGTGTAAAAACGAACCCTTTAAACAGTCCAAGTAGCAAACTAGTGGGACATGGCTCCAAAACACAAAGGTGTCTTAATCAAATGCATAAAAAGACAAAAAGAACAGATATATATTAGATTCTTTTTTTACAGCAGCTGAGAACATTTGCTTTGCAGGAACCTCCTTACTGCAGCTCCCTCCACGCTCGCTGCAGCTGCAGAGTCTCTCCTATGTGGATCCTTTGGTGTCTCTTCAGATTCTCCCCTCGGCTGAAGCTCTTTCCACACTGACTGCAGTAATACGGTTTCTCCCCTGTGTGGACTCTCCTATGTTTCTTCAGGTCTCCTGCCTGAGTGAAGCACCTCCCACACTGTAAGCAGCCGTATGGCTTTTCTCCTGTGTGACAGCGCTGGTGGATCTTCAAGTTGGCGACCCGGCTGAACGTCTTGCCGCACACGATGCACAGGTGCAGGTCACTTTTCACAAGCTGCTCCAAACATACTGGACTTCTGTTGACAGCAGCCCTGTTGGTGTTTGCATTCTCCTGCCTGCTATGTGGGCTGGGATTTGAATTAACAAAGACGGGTTTGTATTGTTCAGTGCCGACTTGTGGTGCGGCAGGATTATTAGGGGTCTGACTCGAAGAACTGCTGCGTAAGTTGACACGTTCAGCCTGCTGTTGATGTTGTTGCTCCGGTGTCGTACACGACGCAGCAGCTTGCTCTGCTTCTGTTTTTATTAAAGGAAGGTGGGTCGTATTCTCTGAGAGCAGAGCATCTGATTCCCTGGTGGCACATTGCGACACTTTAAGTTCCTCACTTGTTTCAACCATCTCCTCTGGTCTTACTTTGCGACTCTCAGCTCCTGAATGCTTATGATCAACCCGTTGCTCCTGCTCTTTGAGTTCCTCCTTCACTCCAAGGTTGAGTGCGATGCAGCTTATCAGTGTTGGTTCTCTGCTTATATCTGGATTAGGCTGTTGAAAAAGTCCCAAATCTTGGTTTCGATCCTCCACATTATCTGGCTTTTTAACAAGTGTCTTAGTTGTACAGAGAATAGCTGCAAATTTGGATAAAAAAAGAAGTGTTCTTTACTATCTGTAATACGTTAGACATCTTAGGATTGTACATATTTAATAAAAACACTTAACCCACCTCTGTTTTCATTGGTTAATCTAACCTGAAGCTCGTGCAGTTTTCTTTTCAGACTTTCATTCTCTCTCTGCGTTCTGGAGGTTCTCTGTTGGTACTCCAACACTGTCTCTTTCACCACCTCCAGAACCTCCTGCACAGCTTCAGTCAGCAGCTTGGCCACACGGGCATTCAAACGTTCCAGTTTAGACATCCTAGACAAGGAGATCAGGGAAAAGAAAGACTGAATGTGAAAAATGAAATAAAAAAAAGTTTGAAGTTCAAACCTTGGAAACCAAGTCCAGTGGATTGTTTTTTAAACTTTTACGGAAATAAAAAAATTAAAACCCCTCCCGTTTACAGCAAAGACCTGCAAAAAACTGCAAGTGCGTACAACTGATGAAAGTAGAGTAGATGTGAGATGTCAGCAATGCAAAAGAAACTGCAAGTCTGGCTATTAAAGGCCTTTCTTTGAAGTCTGATTGGTTTAAATCGGATTTTCTTAGTGGGACTTGCCGTTTCTTTTTAAAGTTACTTTACTTGACCCTTTTTTAAGTTTGGTTCACTAAACAATAACAGTTCCCTCAACTGTTATAGAAATTGCGGCATCCTTAGACAGTGGAGGAATTTGGACAAACCTCAGTTTTAGCTCATTTTAAAGCGGTGCTAAGTAACATTTTTCCTTAATATATCCTCTTAAGTCAATGTAATGGTAATCCAAGTGATTATGATAAGAGTGGTTTCTGGTTTCCCCTACTGGCTCTGGTTAGAAAACCACACTTGCATGTTTCCGTGCGACCGGCCCAGCAGCAGTCTTGTAGCACCGATCTCTCAGAAAGATAAAGAACTTTATGGCAGCCCTGTGTTTCAGCCCACAGGCTGTGTTACCCACACTATTTTGGAGGTGTATGACATGGTGGGGCCAGCAAAAGAAAGGGGGAAAAAAAAGTCAAAGAAACCTTCATGAGAACAGGAAAGCCAGATAAAATGAAAATCGACTGGGACAGGGCTTAACCAAGAGCGAATTTGGCTTAATTGCCTTATGAAAGCAAATGAAAAACTGTCTACAGAAGATGCTGACATAAGGTGAGTTAACACCGAATGATATTCTCACATCAGGAGCAATTGATTTACAGGTTATCCTTACATAAAGGAGCCCTGAGGCAAGGCAAAAGGCATGTTTTTTTGCCGAGCACAGCGAAGAGAGAGTGGCGCTACACCTGCAAATGTCACAAAGCAAAATCACAGTTGAAAGATCTTAACTTTGATACAACTTACTTGCAACAGTGCTATTTTTAAAGAGTCCTGTAGGGGGAGCGCAACTCAAAAACGTACTTGCTACATCTTTAAAACAACTTCAAATGCAAACATTCATTTTCTCAGTGCCAGAAAACATTAAATGCCAACATTTTCACTAAAGACAAATGTTAAGCTTTTTTCCTTTTGGTCAATAGAACAAAGCCCCTGTTAATATGCTGAAGATGAGGCCTCTGCCTTATCAGCTGTGACTCGAAGGTTCACCTAGAAAAGAGAGAACCTTTCTTTCTCACAGGCTTTTAATCAGTGCAAAAGCATCAATGTTTCTTTGTTGGTATAGACATAAACATCCTCTATGTCAGAGGCTTATTTTCATAAAATAATCATAAAATAATTTGAAGATTTTAATGCGATCTGATTTGAAGTTGATTTATGCTGACACATGTACTTTACCTGGTACACCTCTTCAAATTATTAACAAAACACAACTTCTAATTTCAAGGCATGAACTTTACAAATTAAGGTACCTCAAGGTGGTGGTGATGATGATTCAGGCTTAAAGGTATAGTGGAGGATGTTCTTTTTCCAGGTGAATATTCTAAATAAGTCTTCCTCCTAATTGTCAATCATTCTGGTGATTTTTTTTAGGTAAGGCCGTCCTACGTGCTTGTCCTCATTTTCACTTACTGGTGGTGAGTCTGACATCATAGAAAAATTGCAAATCTTTTGGAAAGTAAGCTTGTATGAATGTATGCAAACAGCAACTATTAAACAGAGCATCCACGAGGAGAAATGGGTTTGTGCATGTTCTCGCACGCGTTTAATAGGCGTCGCCGCTCGGAAGCGGGTACAGGGTTGTACATGGGCAATTTATTTTTTTTTTAATGGAGAAGGCGGCTCTTTTAAAAATTTGTGCAAATCCTCCACTATGCTTTTAAGTAGGGATGCACGATATAATCGGCCCCCTATCGGTATCGGCCTGTATCGGCCTTAAAACTGAATATCGGACATCGGCCACCCCACCGATATTTAACCCGATATTTAATCAGCTTCTCAGTTGCTAAAGTCTAAAAAAAAATATNAGGCATGAACTTTACAAATTAAAGTACCTCAAGGTTGTGGTGATGATGATTCAGGCTTAAAGGTATAGTGGAGGATGTTCTTTTTCCAGGTGAATCATCTAAATAAGTCTTCCTCCTAATTATCAATCATTCTGGTGATTTTTTTACGTAAGGCCGTCCTACATACTCGTCCCCATTTTCACTTACTGGTGGTGAGTCTGACATTATAGAAAAATTGCAAATCTTTTGGAAAGTAAGCTTGTATGAATGTATGCAAACAGCAACTTTTAAACAGAGCGTGCACGAGGAGAAATGAGCTTGTGCATGCTCTCGCACGCGGCGTTGCCGCTCGGGAGCGGGTACAGGGTTGTGCATGGGCATTTCTTTTTAAATTTGCAGAAATCCTCCACTATGCCTTTAAGCTCGAACCAAGAAGTGGGGAAGAAAAAGGGTTTAGGTGTCATTTGATGAGAAATGCGTTTTGGAGTAAAATAGCAGATTTGATCATCTAAGAAGCAACTGATCTACCAGGACTTCCTCAATGCAAATGTTTTTAAAAATTATTTTTTATTCTCTTTTACAAACATCCACTAATTCTGTAGATGAAGACCCCTCATGATGGCACGGGTCATGCTGTCATAAAATGACACAGAATCACCAAAACCAGAATTTTTTTTTTCCCTGGTTTGATGAGTCTTATTTTGAGTAACAATATCAAGATTTCCTGATCAGAGTTTGAAATATTCAGCATGGATGCATCCTGTCTTGTCAGTATTTCAGGTAGATGGGGGTGGTGTAGTTAAGAGGTCTGTTTTCTTGTGCCAAACAGAGGGAAGAGTTTTAAAACCCCAGCCTACCGAAGTATTGATGCCGACTATGTACTGCTTTATGATCACATCTGTTAGGATAATGCATTATGTTATATATTTTTTACATTTGGTTATGGCACATTTGGGGCCTGTAGGAATAAAAGCTTTTAAAAATTGCTTTCATGTAAATATTGCATAAAACTTCTGAGGAATGTTTCACATAGAATGATGAATCTATGCTATAACAGTTAAACTGGGGCTGTAATCTACTGAACTGATGGCTACTGCATATATTCAGACTGAAAAAAGCTCTTAAACTTCCTTTTGATGAAAAAGAATAGATTTTAAAAGATTTGTTTAGATTTTTTTGTTATCTAATCTGCTAATAGTGTGTTCTTTTTTTAAAATCACAGGTCTTTTAATTGATTCACATCTACAAAATATATTGACTCATGCTAATCAGATCTGGGTATAAAATTCGAACAAAACAACTTTCAATTCCTATATATGTAAAAACTAACTATATTTTAGCAACAGTGTTTTTATTCAGACAATTTTAAACTTATATTTCTGGCCAGATATCAAACTTTATATTATACAGAACATATTGTCTTATTTATTGTATAATATATAACTAAAATAAAAATGAACACTCTTTTTGTCCTAAGCTTGAACAGATCAGTTTCCTGTTCAGATATTTAGAGCCTCCTGTTATGGGTAGCTAACATTAGCCACATTAGCTCGGCTCCGTTTAGATTCCCACAAATATCCCTAAAACTTCATAAACGTGGCTAAATTATGACTCTGAATAATTTTTTCAGAGTTTAAATCGCAGAGAATATAAAGATTTAATGTTCTTTCAATAAAAAAAAACACAATTTTACTAACCTATGGATACCACTTATATTCCAGGAAGCAAGGCGGAGGTGACGTAGGCCTTAGAATACTTTTCAAAATAAAAGCTGGTCAGGGACGTTCAAAAAAAAAAAAAATAAAAAAAAAAAACTCAAAGCAGTGCGGCTAGAATTTATCTGGCTTATATTATGTTGGCAAAAAGATAGACGAACGGATAAATGAAATAATTTCAGTTGTGTTTTGTTCACATTCCCAAAGTTATTAGCCAGTTCTAATTTCAGTATTATCTAATTTATGAAAGTTAAGACTTAAAAAAAAGATTAGACTAATTAGTTCAAATCAAAGGTTAGTAGAATTGCATTTTTTCAAATTCAATCTTCCTGTTTTTTCTTCATTAGCATTGTTTTTAGCCAACCTGCTGCAACCAGTGCAGTAATTGCTTGGTATCAGCATCAAATAAAGTACATTTGTAAGTGCTTTTACTCATACTCTAGGGCTGTTCCAAAAATTTTAAAAGGACAATTTGAAACTATTCAGGACTGACAATAGAAATGAAAATTAAATAAATCTACTTAATTTTTAACCATGTGCCTGGTGAAAACTGTGAGGGACAATACGCCAACAGTGCACTATCCTGATGCAATTTAGGTGTGAAGTAAAGCTACACCCTAGTTCACCCAAAAACACTTTCATGAATGCAAAGTTGGATGAAAACATCCCTTGAAGAAGTGAATCTAAAAATCAAGGAATCCCTTAGCAAAAAGTAGTTTATTCAGGTATACTAGAAGTGCACTAATTTCATACTTAAAACCAGACAGTGCACTTAGAGTTTACTTATTCTAAACTATATTTCATATACGTAACAATAGTAGTCAAGTGTACTTGACTTACACTGAGAAGTATAAAAAGTGTTTACTAAAGTATACTTTAAGTATACTTTAGTAAAGTAAAAAAAAAAAATTGTCCCAGTTTAGTATACTTCAAGTATACTAGTTTTTGTTAAGGGATTTGGTGATATCTGTGTATTTCTTAGGCATGATGGAGAACAAATATACAAAGGGACTCAAAGATCTTGATGTTATAAAATTGGAACAGCGTTCAGTTAATGCTCCAAAACTCACCAAGGAGAACCTATGGTGAGTTTAATTTTAAAATGTGGAAGACCTTTCTTACAAAGCAACATTACATGGATTTAGGGATTCACTTCCTGCATTAAACCTTTTTTTTTCTCTCTGTAAATACAAAAGATTAATCTAAAGCTTATTAAGGGTTGGGAGTTAAAAGCTCCAAAATAAGAGCTAAGATAATAGCATTAACCTTATTTCAGAGTCCCAAGCTCACTGACCACTCTGTCTATTTTGTGGACCATTTTTTTTCTGACTTATGAATAGCTAAGCTGTGAGCATAACTGCAATCAAATTTATTCCATAATGTCTCGAAATGAGAATGCTCCCCCTAAGCTTTAACGTTTGTTTTTAACTAAACCCCCTTGTATTCTGTACAACAGAACCAATGGAAGAATGTATAGATTCGAATGAGTAATGACTCTGATTGTCAGCATTTCGTCAGCTCCCTACAATGTAACTCTATTTAAAGCACTTAGATTGATAAAACACAATACATTTACTTCATTTCTGAAGACTTAAAGAGAACATAATTTGTGTAATATTGTCATTTGGATCATTTTAGACTGTTGTAGGAGTAAACTAATTTGACTTTGTACATATAGAGCAGAAGACTGCTTTCCTGATAGAAAAGCTGTTAAAACATGTGCAAAGTTTAGGTTGATTATATCACCTAAAATAAACTATCCAGAGCACAACAGTTTTTTTTATTATCACCATCTCCAGACTTTTAATGACCAAAGGCATATATTTTATAGTACATGACTGCCATCTAGTGGTGAAGATGTTACACCAACTCACCATCCATTCTGTTGGTTCTACTGGATGTCCTCAAGAACAACCTGTAACATTTAATCCAAAAACAAAAACTTGTATGAAGAAAGGAACCCAGAGTAGTCAAAATGTTATGTTTTCTCAAACTTATTAGGCACCACAACTTCAAATCTTTGCTTTGTGCCCCATGAGGAAAAAATACTCTATAGAGTCAATCATGCAAATAGTAACAAATAAATCACACCATGCCAGTTGCAAAACTGTCTGCGTTTACACAAACGTAAAAAGTGCTGTAAAGTCCGACTAAATATTCAAATCCATATTTTTCAAAAACACTTTAAAAGAACCCGTTGCAGTATTTACAAAATGGCAGAGAAAAAAAGACGCGTTCACACAAGCCCAATACGGAATGGACTCTCTAGGGTTCTCAAGGATGTCCTTCTGTTGTTTCTTCAAACAGGCTGAGCAGGTTCTTCGGTTCAAAGTTAGAACGCGGGGCCGCCTCGTCTGCGTGGAGCCGCTGAAGACGGGTGGAGGAAGAGCTCGGCTGGGGCTCTGCATGAATGGGGCTGAGGTTGGGGGTCAGTGTGTGGCAGGATCTGTTGGAGTAGATGCTGGATGGAGTCAGGGCCAAGTTATAGGATGACCAGTCCCCCAGAACCGACTGTGTGGATATAACGGATGTGTGGACAGGACTGTGGTGGTTCTGTGTCGGTGAACCTTGGAGAGGAGTTGACGTGCTTTCTGCTGACAGTCTGGATTTAAGCCTGAGCAAAAAATAAAAACATAAATAAAATAAAAGGTGGGAATTCTACATTATCTAGTTAGCAAAATGAGCTAAACAGCTTCAAATTTCATACAGTTCTATGCCAATAATGAGTGGCTGCAACATCTGACCTGAGTGAAAAGGTGGGGGAATGTTCTGCATCTGTATGAAGCAGAAAAACTCCATCATCCTCAGGACTTCCAGGATCATTATGCAGGGAACTGAGGGACAACGTCATGTCCCTGTCACAGCTGTCCTTAGGAGGCGTGCTAGGCTCTGGCTTCGACCACCGAGGCACAAACGGTAAGCAAACTGAAGAGAGAAGCTTGCAACTAAAGCCCATCACAAACTGAAGAGAAAAGAAAGCATCCAATCATTAAAAGCATGTTGTATTGATCGAATATATTTACTATGCAATGCTAGAGGCTGTACTTGGCAGAAGGAGACCAGGGTCAACATGGTCTCAGCAACCATCAGATAAATGCGCCTTTTCCATCTGCGTTTTCTGACAGAAGGCAAAGCAAGAAGTTGAGAGACTGTTGGTCTTTCAGATGGTTCTGGGGTCAGCATCATCCTCAGGACTGACTGAAGCTCAACAGACAGGCCTGGGAATACAGACGGAAATAGAGGAAATGCTCAATATTCTATCCAGAATGCTTCCTGAGTAAACAACAGAGAGCAAATGTTACCGTTGGTAAACTCAGAGGGGAGGTGTCCCTGTCTGAGTTGCTGCCATCCCTCACCACCATTTGGTACCTCAAGGTTACAGGCAAGCTCCAGAATAGAAACACCCAAACTAAGGACAGAAAATGAAATTTTATTCATTTTACACTATGCACGGCTCATTATTTAGTTATATATGCTGTATTTTTATAAGCTGTACCTAAAAACATCTGCAGCAGGTCCATATTCCCCACGGAGGAGCTCCGGAGCCATGTATCTAGGATCTCCTTCCTGGATGTCCTCCTTTACCTTCCCGTTTCGCAACTTTGCCACCGTCTGGTCGATCTCCAACAGGAGCCCAAAGTCACCCAGCTTAAGGCGACCAGACTCCGTAATTAAAACATTGGCGGGTTTAAGGTCCAAATGTACAAAACCATGAGAATGCAGGTGCTGCAGAGCAGACAGCAGGTCACACAGGTAACCCCACGCCGCTGGCTCATCTGGATTAACCAGGATTATAGGAGAAGAGAAAAAAACAACAACATTCAATCGATCAAGAAATAAAACTATTTTCTAAAGAGGATCAAGCATAAATAATCTTTAAGAACCAACCGGGGCCAGGAGGCTTGTTCTCAGCATGTAGCAGCAAGCTGGTGCTGCACAGCTCTGTCTGAATATACAGTCGGTCGCTCTCCTCCCACGCCGCCACAAAATCCAGAATGTGAGGATGAGGACAAATGCGCTCGTGGTCCTTGGCTTCTTTAACACCTCGTTTCCTGTCGCTGTTCCCTCTGAAGCGATGAGCGGAGCGTTTCACGGCGTAAAGACGGCCATCCTTGTTGTTTTGCACCTGGAAAAACACCGAAGACACTTAAAAGTCTTCGTTAACATGATCTGACCTAATTTGTCAAATTATCTGTATCCTTTGGCCAAATGTATTATTTTATCTTTTTTTTTTTAATCATTTGGACTTGGAGGAGGCCATTCATGCTTTAATAATTTGTAGACTAAACTATTTCTGTTTTCAGGCAGGATCTAAACGCCCAGTACCATGATGGAACTCTGTCTGCAATTTCCATCTTCTCTGTTCTGCTTTTATTGTTGTAAATCTTCATGTTTGGGATTTTACTTTTAAATGCTTTAGTCGACCTAATTTGTTTAACAGTGCCATATAAACACATACGTACACAAACATAAGCAAAATAAAAAAAACAGGTAAAACATCTTTATATTTTAGAACAGCGCAGTCAAAGTCCAAACTAATCCTATTTAGAACCAAAGGTAAAACTATGCACAAGCACTCTCTCATTTGACTGAATTTAAGCCTTTTTTTAAATGAGAATGCACCAAAGCTTGTGTCTCTATACATACTGTAAGTCCCAAGTGGCGTTGCATTTCTGGAGACTTGATTCTCCAAAAAATCTGAAGTTCAGAGACTCGGGGGGTGAACATTTCTTAGTGAAATATTTGGAAATCTGTGCAAAATCCACATCATGGCTGTGCGCTAAACTGTTTGGTTGTAGTGTGGTAAAAATTAAAGGGTTCAAGTGTAATTCCCAAGGAGAAAGATTCTGGGATCTCTACATATGATTGGTCCGTTCAATGGGGATAAACGTTAAAGAATTTAATAATTGACATAAAAAAATGCAATGTCATTTTAAGACTTGATTTCCAGATTAATAATTAAACAGTTGCAGACATCACTGCTTCTTGTGACAGACTGTTTATCAGTCAAAACATTAAAATTTTTACCATGCTCACCTTATAGACCTCTCCAAAGGATCCTCTACCAAGAAGGCCCAAATTAGTGAAGCACTGACCAAAATAGGAGTTATGCTTACTGGGGTCATACAAGGAGCTCGGAGGGGGAGATTTAGTGAGAGAGTCTGACAGCGGCGTCCAGGGGGATTGATGGGGAGGGAACATTCTGCTCAGAGGGGGGCATCCTTTGGATGGTGGTAGTGGAGGCAGGGAATAGGAGACTCGAAGTGGGGAGGAGCTGGATGAATTATTAGAAGCAGACGAGGAGGATAACGGGAATCTGCGCTTTTTGAGGGAGAACGACTGTTCTGCGTGGCAAAGGTGGGCCGGAAGAGGGAGAGGCACCCGGGACGTCGAAGTTTCCGTTGCAACCGACATTTCATAGGGATTTCTTCAGGTTTTTGTAATTAAGATAAAATGCTGGAGAGAGAAAAAAAAAAAAAGAAACATTGAACTTTAAATTTGTATTTAGTGGAAATTGTAAAGCAATGATGATTGGCACATAAGCTTCATCACAATTACACATTTTATGGTTAAACAAAACATTTACAAAGCAAAAGCACGGGAAATGTTATTGACACATTGCTAAACTTAAAGAAACTGAGTGCAAATCTTAAAGAATTTGGTACAAAGGTAAAAAAAGGTGCATTTCTAGTTTAACAGGTTGTGGAACATTTACTTGGTATCTTTAAGCTATTTAGACAACCGACACAACAATGACCTAATTAGTGGTATATCAAGTCTTACTTGCTTGCCCAATAGTAAACAGACCAAATGGGTAATAACAGATCAAACAGCTAAAAACTAACCTGCCTATCCATTAACTCCACATAATATATAATAGGGATTTTCAAAGTTTTCCAGGACAGAACTGATGGAGCTGGGACCCCTTAATTATATATATAGTATGAAATTGTTTTATATCTAATTGGTCCTATAGTCACTCTATTACAGATGGAGTAATGTAACCAAAGTAATTTCACCCTGGGATTATTAAAGTATTTCTGATTCTGATTCCTGGCTGATGGGACAGGTGTTGTGAATGAAACGGTGCCCAGCTTAAAAGAGCTCCTGTGTGTCGCTGAATGTGTGCATTGATGACTGAAAGACATCTTCTGCCTCCATTTATCCGTTCACTACTCTGTGTTGAATTCATCTTAATGGGGATTTAAAGGCATTTCAATTAGTGGAAAAGATTGCAGGGGGGAATATAAAAAGAAAGTCTAATCAACCAAAACTTTTGCTACGCCCCATGCAGTTGAAAATCTCCAATATATAACAAATAATCCCTAAAACAGGGAGAGATAAAAGGCCATACAAAGTATTCAGGATGTCAGATTTAAAAAAACAAAACAGCAAAAACAAATAAGCAGCATGACTATTGTTCATAACACAGACTCCATTTCAAAATTCATATATAAGTATATATAAAATATCTTGTTTAACAGGATTTGTGATAAAGTATTTACAAAGTAAAAACACAGAAAGTGTTTTCAACCACTTATGTTAGCCATAAGTGTATTTTTCCCTCCACCCTTATCTTACATTAAGGATAAAAGCCTTGATAATAAAAAGCATGGTTTACTATCCTTATTATGATAGGGAACATTTTCGGGAGCAGTTTATTTTCTGATGGAGGAAATCTAAATTGCTCTTTTAAGGTAAAGGCAGTAATAACAAGACAGAAAAAAACCCTGCTGAAGCTGATCCTGCCATTCCTGTTAAATGTGAATACTATTTAATCTAATCAAGTGTCTTCAATCAGAAGATAAACTGGACACTACGATCTTAAAACGGTACAAATAAATGCAAAATACAACTAAAACTGAGGTACACGATGCAAATCAAGCCAAAAATGACCTTTAAAATGATATAAAACGGCGCAGACGCAAAGTAACACATATAACCGCAAGAATTCATTGGAAGTTTAAAGTATTCTCAGTTAAACGCCTGTTAAATAATCACAAACACGGACAACGGTAAACATTTAGCTAACAATAACAACCGAGGTAGTGCAGCTCCAAATATAACTAGGACCCAGTTAAACCAGTTTTCAATGACGGCGAAGTAATGAAGGCTAAGTAAATGAAAGATTAATCATATATCACCAACCATAATCCAGTTTTCCAAACGGCTTCCAGCAAAAAAAAAGGTGTTTCTCGCTATATTTTCCCAGATCTGTCAGTGAACTCCTCTTTTCCACCTCGTAATCACCTCGCGCCAAATTCTGAACGGTTTACGCAGCGTTTCGCAGCGCCACGTAACGGTATTCCGTGAATACGGAGTGCGTACATGCGTTGCGCAATATCCGCAAGCGTTGGTGCAGTACAGACGGGGCTGGCGTAACTAGCTAGCTAGCTGATTCCTTGAAATGGTAACTTTGTTTAACGATTATTTGTCGACATAAGTACTATACTTAAGTAACCGATTCAACACAGTGTCTTAGAGTATTCTATTGGTGTTGTTTGTGTTATTCTGCTCAAGCTAAACTGGCTGTGTTAGCTTGGTATTCTTATCGCTAATGTGTGTAATGCTAGCAAGTTAGCTACGTCATTAAGCTAATTATGGACATACGAAAATGATACGAGCTTCATTTTTAAGTTTTTAGCGTGATTTTTCACTGTCTGGTGTTGTTTTGACGGAACATCGAGATTGGATACTTGTTAGCTCATAGCTAAATCTGCGTTGAAAGGGCTAGGTGTTCTTATTCTTTGTTAATCTTTGTTTTTCCGCAGCGTCAACTGTATCCTAATGAGTTTTAGGAAGTCTCCTATTTTATTTCATTCGATAACACAAAGAAAAATATAAGTTAAATTGAATAACACGAGAATTAAATGACAATTTTATGATGTAGATAGAACACCATAGAAGTACAGACCGGAATGATGTCTTTACAAATGTATATCTGATCCAATTAAATAGTTTTCCTGATTTAAGAGCTTTCCTTTTTAACCAAAACTTCGAAAGCTGGAAAAAAATATGTATTTAATATGAGTTGAATAAATACATCAGATAAAGGTTTAGCATTTCAGATTTTGCCAAAATTAAAAGTGAAAACCAAGTCCTTCTAAATTATGACCTCTAACAAAAACTTGTTCCTTATTTATACTCCTTTACGTAAGCGGGGACAGGTCAGACGTTTTTGGTGATCCTTTAATCAAAATCCATAGATTTGATAATAACTTTCTGTTTAGTATTCAATATATCTGTACATTGGATCAATTATACAAGCACAACTGTTAGTACACCATTATGAATTGTGGAGAAAGGTTTCAGGAAAAGTCTAAATAGCCTGAATCAGACTCTTACTTGGGCTTTTAAAAATCAACTAAACACAGTTTTGTTCCACCAGGCTTTGATGTTAAGGTTTGATTTTCCATTCTTTTATTTAGGCTTTCTTTTATCCTACCTGTAATTTAATATTTTAAAACCCTTTGTAACTCCCTGCCTGTAAGGGCTCTTTGTTGAATTCACTAACTAATTAACCAAGCGCTCTACTTGAACCTTATCTTTAGAACATAAAATAGAGGTTGCTATTTTTGTTGCGGTTTAATTTCAAGAATGACAAAAAACTAAAACCACAAACTATGTTGAAGAATTTGTAGTTGGGGTTTAAATTGCACTAATTGCTATTTCAAATCTAGATGTTATGAATTTTTAAAAGAGATTGGATCTAGATTACAGAAATATACAGCTTGGAAACCTTCAGTCGAAGGCAAACTTGGGCATTGTTGTTTCATGTTTTGTTGAGCTTGCAAATAATATGATCTTAATAGTACATTATAAAAAAATTGCAATCACATATTCATTGTCTTAAGTTAAGAAACCTTAATAGACTAAGTTTATTTCATCTACTTTTAAAAGCTTAAATCAATCTAAAAATACCACTTATTGTCTTAATATATTTCTTGGTTTTGACGCTGATGAGGTGCTTAACTAGTTTTATCTTCACTTTGCCTGTTTTTGTACTGTTGAAAAGAACATTTCTGTTGTTCAGGTGCTAATTTGTTTTGTATTTTTGTGGCTTTGAGCCAATTCTACATTTGCTACAGTAATTTGACAAACAGATATGCTTGTGTGCTGATTATCTTCAAGGACGTGTTCCTAATGATCCGGCGTCACAAGACGACAATCTTCACAGACGCCAAGGAATGCACCACCGTGTATGAGCTGAAGCGGATTGTTGAAGGAATACTCAAAAGACCTCCAGAGGATCAGCGACTCTACAAAGTCAGTTTAAAACTCAAGAGAGTGAAGTTTGAAAATGTGGTTTCTAGACTTTAAAGCCAAGGGGGTTATCTTGTAATATCTTCCATTCTTGTCCTGCAGGATGATCAGTTGCTAGAGGACAGCAAAACTTTGGGGGATTGTGGTTTCACCAACCAGACTGCCAGACCTCAAGCACCTGCTACAGTCGGTCTGGCCTTCCGTGTAAATGGTAAATGTTGTTCAATCTGTCGGTGTGCTTCTATTGCACAGGAACCTCCTTTTACTGAATATCTACAGCTGAAATAGCAAACTTGTAGGTCCCTAGAAACCTTGAGATAAATGTATCCAGGCAAGAGCAAAGTATTATATCATTGAATAAACATGAAAACTAGGGCTGGGCAATTAAATAAAAGAAGCTGCTCTTTCCAAAAACTTGTCTATGTAACTGGAGAAGTTCAAAAAGCTTCAGATGCAGATGGCCGCTCACACTGAGCCTGGTTCTGCTGGAGGTTTTTTCCTGTTAGAAGAGAGTTTTTCCTCTCCACTGTCGCTACAAGCATGCTTAATGTGAGGGATTGTCTTCGAGTCAATGAGTCGATGCAATCAACTGGTTTTCCTTAGATTGAAAACCTTTAATCAATTTGACTGTATGATCTGGTGAACTGTAAACTGCCCTGAGATGACGTGTGTTGTGAATTGGTGCTATAGAGATAAACTGAATTGAATTGAATCCGTCACTGAGTGAGTCATGTGACTCAGAGCGCCGCTTTAAAGCAGGATGAGGACCCCTTACACACAAAAGCTAACTAAGCCAAGTGCTATGAACCATACCTGATCAGACATGTATATAGTTCTCTGGTGAAGGATTAGTGAACTAATCTCTGTACAGATTTTTTGGGCCTTGATTATCCACTTTTACTTAAACACAGAGGGCAGCTTTTTAAATAGGCCACAGTGCTACCAGTTGCTTTTTGGGTGTTAAACCTTTTGGCTCTTATTGGATAATAACATACATGACCAGCATGGTGAAGACACATAGCAACTGAATTAGGGCTGAAACACTTGGATTAATCTATTATAAAAAAATATCAACTAATTTAGTAATCAATTAATTGTAACTGGAGTATAGAGACCAAAACCTTTTGCTTTTAAGGTCAAAACCTTTATAGTCTCCATCAATATGCTCTACAGAACTCTTCATGTGGAATAGTTTTAGTTTCACCGGGTTTAGATTCTGTAAAAATCTTTAAGGAACCGTTTGCTATCCAATTATTCAAGAAAACAAAAAAATTATGAACACATAAATCAAATCTATACAAGAAAATCATTAGCTGCAGCCCTAAACTGAAGATTTAAAGTAATTTTTTGTCTATTCTCTGTCTAATGTAAGGGAATGATTTATGTCTATAACAAATTATTTCTAACAGCTGCAGTTGATTTCCTTTATGATCAGCTGTCATAATCAGAAGAGTGAACTTACCACAAAAGTGGACCAAGAATTTAAGAAAAAATGTAAAAGTAATTTGTCAGATTTTGCATTTTAAAAATGCATATTTAAATGAATTGTTAGAATGTCTAACAAAACCAGGAAACAAGTCTGCAATGTTTTGTTACCAATAAAAAGTAGGTTTTAGCCAAGTTCAATGTACCCAATGCTATTGATAAAGTAGGCAACAGGACATAAAAGCAGGGCCTCAGCTTTCTTTGTTTTTTTGGTGATGGATTGATTTATTAATTACATTTATCTATATTCAGAAATGTTTAAACTGGAAAAAAATATATTTTGCACATTTTCCTAACATTGTAAATAAAAAAAAAAATTAAAAAAAATCAGTGCCCATAAATGCCACATGAGAGGTTTTGGACTAATTTTATTATCAGAAAATGGATTTCCAAGTTCAAAAGTTGAATATTTTCCTTTCATCCTAAATCCAAAACTTGCATATTATGTCTTAACTACTGCCCTTGGTAAGGCAATGTATCCTCCAGTTAACAATTATTTGATCACTTAATCAGTTGATTAAATTAGTTGATCAGTCATTTATTTCTCTTGATTATTCCAACACTTTTTTTCATCCATTCAAAGCATAAATGTAAAAGCCTCGTATAGAAAAAAAGGTTATGTTAATACGGAAGTTAAATACATAAATGAACCAAATTTTCCAAACGGTGCATCATATCCTTTTATTTAAAGCTGCTGTGAACAACGGATAGTTTCAGCCCTGATTTAAAGAATGAATGGTTGAAACATGAGGCAGGCTATTCACAAGCAGTTTGTTTGGTTTTTTATTAGATTTTTATAAACAACTCCCACTAGAGTTGGTCAGCAAAGCTGATCCTTCTCTTCTGATTTGCTTAAACAACTATATGAAGCTGAAGTTTGCTCCCCCAGATGTCCTTTCCTGTATAAACGCTCACAGCAGCAGGTCTCTGACATGATATACGTCCACCATTAAACTCTGCTGTTATGGCGAAGCTCATGTTTGTCCCTCTTCTCTGCATTCCAGATGAGATGTTTGAGCAGCTGTATATCGAGGCCTTCTCCAGCCCCCCAGAACTCCCTGACGTGATGAAGCCTCAGGACTCTGGTAGCACTGCCAACGAGCAAGCGGTGCAGTGATAGCAATGGAGGGAAAGATGGGAGTGGGTGTGTGTGGATTAACTGGAGTGAAGAAGTAATCTAATTTAATGAATGCGGACATTTTAGGTAACCAAGCCTGCCCACGTTACCTTCATGCCATCACATCAGCGTCCCGCCTCTGCCCCGTCACTAAATTACTTCAGTCTTTTTTTATTTTATTACCTCTGGTTTCCCCACCATGCGCAGCCCTTCTCCTTGAATTTACTCTAAAGCACCAACTGTCACAGACGTTGAAGTGATATAGTTGGTTTGGAAAGTCTGAGTGTATGTAAGCATGTGTCTTTGAGTTGTTGTAATTATCATTAGCATTTTTGGGAAAAGTCAGAGGCACAGTTGTGTCGCAGCCATCAAGATGTAAAACGTTGGGTCAAAAATTCAGTATTTGAATTTGAAAACTGCATCAATGAGTTCAGAGCAAACCACTGAGATGTTCACCTGGTCTGATCCTCTCAGCTTTTTTCCTCCACATTATCCTTTCAAACAGGAGCTTGTTTAATCGGTTTGTATGAGTTGTCATTTGTGTTTCATGCACTGAGACCAAAGGCAGGCCAGCGGATGGATGTTTTTGGTGAAAGCACATTTGTTCTGTGACATAACAGTAAACACCGATGGAGAACTTTCTTGTGTTTTTACTTTAATTCTTTTATATGCTTTCATCATGTCACCAACATTATTACGGTATCTCTTACCCATAGGCACACAAACAATGCTTGTAACTGTGAGTTCGCTTGATTAAAAAGTTTTTCCTGTTTTGTTTTTTTTTATTCCTCTGCGCCGCAATTCTTTAAAACATTTAGTTTTTATTCATATAAAATCACAGTTACAGGAAAATGGAGCTAAAGCAGCAAATATTTCCTCTTAGAAAAGCAGGTGTTCAGGGTAAAAACTCTTGTCTCTGACGAAAGCCTTCTGGGAATTAAAATAACTGGGAAAAAAGTCCATTATTACTATACATCCACCTTGGATGATAAAATATTTAAGCTCTCTGTGCCATTCAAGATTTTGCTGAATGCTTAAATGGTGAGTAAATTTCTACAGGCACGACCTGCAATGGGGTTGAATCAGTGAAGCTGTTTAATAAATGTGCTTCTTATATTGAAAAGTATTTCATCTAATTCACAAGGTCAAACTAAAACTTATTACACATGGATGCACATTTTATTTAATGTGTTTTAAAGATTGTGGCTCACAACTTAGTAAAGCAAAGAATTCAGTTTCAATTGGAAACTTTAAATACGATAATGCAGAAACCTAAGTAGGCAGAGCCTATTCTGTAGCCTATATGAAGCCTATACTGTAACTTCAATCCTTGCTTGGTTTGGTTTGTGCAGGCTGGCATGGAGGTGAACTGTCTGGTTCTGGAGACATGCACAGGAAACTCCAGTTCCTATGCTAGGAACCCTGCTCTTCATGTGTTAGATATTTCCCTGCTTTAACAATCTGCTCATACCTAGCTGTTGATCAGGTATCGGTTGTAATCAGGTGTGCTAAAATCATCACTTATTGTTGAAGCTTGTTTGCTATTTCTATTATATAATTCTTTCACTCCGTTTTCCACTAAGTGCCGTATATAACAACATTGAACAACCAGTTTTATTATCACTCACCTTTTGAAGCCTGGTTGTTGCAGAGCAGGGGTCTGCAACACCAGTCATGGACTGCCATCCCCGCTCCATTCAAACATCATTAAATAACTTTATTTAGCTGTGCTTAAGCCGAGACGCAAATGTTGCAGACTTTTGTTGTGGATGGATGGATTGCATGCTGGACTATTGGCAGAGTTATGGTGGGTTTCTCAGCCCTTCTTTTCATTGCCCTCTACACTGCATGTCTCAGGTGTTTCCTTTATAAACCAGACAGGCGGTCGGCTGTTTTGAGTGGTTTCTNGAACCAACAGACTGGAACCCTGAGACCGGAACCAACAGACTGGAACCCTGAGACCGGAACCAACAGACTGGAACCCTGAGACCGGAACCAACAGAATGGAACCCTGAGACCGGAACCAACAGACTGGAACCCTGAGACCGGAACCAACAGACCGGAACCCTGAGACCGGAACCCTGAGACGGGAATCAACATACCGGAACCAACAGACTGGAACCCTGAGATGGGAATCAACAGACCGGAACCCTGAGACCGGAACCAACAGACTGGAACCCTGAGACCAGAATCAACAGACCGAAACCAACAGACTGAAACCCTGAGAGGGGAACCCTGAGACCAGAATCAACAGACCGGAACCCTGAGACCGGAACCAACAGACCAGAACCCTAAAACCAGAACCAACAGACTGGAATCCTGAGACCGGAACCCTGAGAGGGGAACCCTGAGAACAGAA